CGAATTACCTTTTATAAAATGAGCATGTAGATAATTAATGTCCAACTAATTTCTGCGCATGGCAAAAACTTTACAATTCCCCACAAGACAGCCACATATATTGATATCGGGTGGAAAGAGGATCATCTCTAATGAGTTGTCGTGTGTGTGTGTTTATTTGTGCTGAAAACGCGGCGGTTTTTTTTGTTTCTCTCCTACATCAATTTTATCTGAAAAAGGTTATTATCATAAATATTGCTGAGGCAGAGCGACTGCCGAGAGATTCATGGCAAAAGTGAATTGTGTGGCATTCTTCTGGCCATTGTCACGTGGATGAATTTTAATTGAAAATCTCTGTTGGAAATTTGAAGCCATTTTCATCTCGCGGTGCACACTTTTGAGGTCTCCACCCCCATAAATAGAGTCACACGCCATGATTACGTGATGCCAATGATCATGGCGAGTCCTGAAGCCATTCTTGGACGCAATTCTTGGCCGGCATTTGAACCGCCGTGGCTCGCGAGCGTCCCACTTAAGCCAAATTGTTAATTACTGGTGTGTGCGAACGCGGCAAAGAGCTGGAAGACACTGGCCGCCTCGACGTGGATCACGGCCAGAAGATGCCTTCGAGCTGAGCCTTATCACTCCGTCTCACTCACCTTCTCAGGTGCGCCAAGCAGAAGTTTGCCTACTTTCCGGCATTTTCCACCTGCTCAGCGATCTTCTGCGGAATTCAAGCGCACGAGGAGTCAAGTCTCCTCGACTTAATCATTCCCAGCTACCGAAATATTCAGCGCTCATATAAGATCAGGTCGATGATCGTCCGTGGGAATTATCAATCGCGACTGTCTGTGAATGATTCAATTACCCAAATGATCAGTTTAAGCATGTTGTTTCTCTGCGGCAACAATAAAAGTGCAATAATCGTAAAGTCAACGTCGGGAAAGATCACCTTAGCAAGAGGGAAAAGAGATCAATGGTCGTCTAGGCGATTTAGAAGGATTTCACGTACTTTGCGATCACAAATGATATGGATTTCCGGAGTGAAAAAAGTGATTTGGCAGTGCTTTGAATGTTCTACATTACGAAAATATATACCTTGCAGAATATTCTGGACTCTTCTGAATTCCTTCACGATACATCTCACGATTTCCGCGTGAGTCATCGCCCATGAGAAGAATGGAAGAGGTTCTTTAATTGATCTCGCACACGGTGCGAGAGAGCTTCTGTTTGCGCTCCAGAAAGGAGGTGAGCGCACACTTTGAACAAAACTATTTCATTTATGAATTAACACACGCAATAATCAAAGCAAATACACTCGCGATCGCTTGTGTTTCATTAGCTCGCGGAGGTGAAAGAAGAGATGCCTCTGTTTACCATTCCATTAATATCTGAAGCAACAGTCACACAAAAATCTATTCTAAGACATTCAGCCAGTGGAAGAGCCCCAACTCCTTATTATGGTCGGGTTACAATATCAAAGCGGCTGCTGTTAGATGCGCACACGCTTTTTAATACACTTTGTTTGTCCTCTCACTCAATGAATGTGCCCACTATGCGCGTACAAATGGCCCGAGCGGCGATGGGAAGGAGCACAGCGAGGAATTCTTAGAGTGTCTATGCAAATAATATTTTATGCAATATTCCGTGCCTCCAGTTCATCAATGGATATCACCCAGGGCGATAGTATCATTTCATGTACGAGCATATCACATGTTTTGACGCAAATGTGCAACACACTTCGCACTGCCTGGCTAATTAAGTGCCTCCAATGTGCAGACAATTGCGCGTATTGCCACTTTTAACACTCCCAGCGCTTCCTTCTTCCACTTCTTTGTCCCAGACTCGCAAATTGACTCCGCATCTAATGCCGGACTTTCATTACGCGTAGCGATAAAAAGGTTGAATTTGTGATGGGAATTTGCTGGGAAATCTCCTGCAACTCCTTCGTCACAAGAAATCGTCAAGATTGTCATCAAAAACACTACTTTAAAGGCAGAGGCGCAATCAATCAACCAGAACTTTGAGTTTTTTTTCACTATTTGCACAGAAATTCTCATATATATAATAAATTTCTTAAGTTTCCATCCGATATTTCTGTAAGAATCCACTTTTACACTGCTTTTCTCTGTATCTTTTCGACCAAAACCTAGAAATATCACTAAGAAATCTTTAAAGACTCAGTTCGGAAGCTTTCTAATTCACAAAATCATCTCCAAAAACGCCTAAAAAGTTTTCCACAGAAACAGTTTTCAAGTCCAAATCAATATTTTTGAGATTTTGCACGATTTCTACTGATCTTTACAAAACTTTTGATTATATTATCTCATCTCTGAAAGCAATAGATTACTCATTTTGGCCTCATGAATCATTTTATTCAAGTATTTTGATCTATTCTGAGGCTCCTGAAAAGTGTTAAGGATTTTTCTGCGAATTGTTGAGAAACTTTGCGAAATGATTTCCCAGAAAATGAGGAAGTGAATTGATTTCAAGTGCCACTGATGCCGATAAGAGAGAAGTTCGAAATGCCAAAGTCAGAAGCTCGAAAGCTAAGGTCTTGTCTTGTGGCATTAAAGCGCCAAAAAGCTGTGTGTGTCTTTGGAATTGAAACGTCTTCGTGAGATGGAGAGGACAAAAGGCATTCGCGCGGTGTGCAATTTAATGAAGTGAATGTTTAGGTAAATTCTCGTGTGTGTGAAAAATTCCACGTGAAACACTTCAAGATGCCTCTCCACCCTTCGTCAAAAGCCAACACAATAATGCTCGCGCATAGGCGATCTCGTGTGCAAGAAAAAGGCGAGGAACCTTGACTCAAGTCGCCATATCGAGCGAAATAAAAAAGGCCAGAATCCGATTCGTATCTGCATGAGCATTTCTTGGGCATCTCCTCAACATTTCGAGATTGTTATCGATCGCAACAGTCGAATGCGATTTGCAAATAATTTAGCAGCGTGTAGATTTTATATTCAATTTACTTATTATCTCTCCTTTTCGTCTGTATTGGCATTTTTCTACTAATTCCCTCCACTTTTCCCACTCCGCCCGCCCTCTTGGCCAATTGGCTGCATTGGCAATTGGAATCGCAGATGGAGAATCCCGTCCGCGTGTATATGAGATTTTCCGTTTGCACTTTGAGCGGCATCTTGTGTCCATCACCTCATTTTGCATATGAGATTTTTCAATTTATTCACTCAAGAGTGCTGGCAAGTGAGGAAAAACTTTATGAGCACTTGAACGCTCGACACAATTATTCTCTCTTTAGCTATTTCTATTTCACCTGTGACATTCACTTGACCCTCCGATGTTTTTCTCCACTTCATCTCTCTCTCTGCATTCAGCTGGCCGAGACGCATAGCGCTCAATATCACATTCCATATCACGGCGAGAAGCGTTTGGGGTGAAGGAAATTCAGCGGCAGTTGCGCGTCTTCGCGCTGGACCGAGAAATCAAGATAGAGGCTAAGAAAAAAGAAACACTTTCGACACATCTCCAGAGCCTTTTGTTGCCAATGAAGTCACTCAATAAAGCATCCAATTGATATTTTGGCTCCTCCGCAAAGGCGACTATCAATTGGGTAATTATGGCATTATTTGGAAATATAATTAATAAATACTTGTGAGGAGATTTTTTTTCCTGAGATGTTTCTAAAATTCTCTTTTCACTCAATGAATGCACTGTCGTTTCAATGTCTTGAGCTACCAAAATTTCAATCAATAGACTCTGGGAGATTTAATCGCGCCCAAGATCGCAACTGATCGAGTGCCTAAATGTTGAGGATACATGGAAAATTGGCACAGATGAAAAGATCTCCTTCGCATCGCGCACAGTCGCGTGAGAAGAATGGTGAGGCATCAAAGATTGGCTTTTGTACAGCGCAAGTTCCTTAACAATGCGTTACAAATTCAGTGTTTTCAAGAGTGAGCTACCCATATATGAGATTCATTCGCATTATTATTTATGGCCCAAGAAAATGATCTGGAGGTTGAGTATATTGTGCGAGACACGAAGTGAATTAATATAAATTTCTCAGTTTTATCGCACTGAGTCACAATTCTGACATATTATGAAATGTTGTCTGTTGGTGAGGTGTGCTCGCCAAGATTATGGGTGAGAAAGACGCGCGCGCTCATGAGATGGACATCGTAGTCATAATAGTGTATTATTAATAATTACTCGAAACACATTGCCATAACTTTATAATTAAATTCTCTTGTAGGAGAATTCCTCAAAGGTCGCGAAGGATGGCGAGGTGAGATGATGCTCCTGACAGAGAAAAAATCCGGAGCAATTAAGTTATCATGATAAGCCATAGAGATTGCATCAGAGACGCGAAAACGCATCGTCCACAACAATGTGTCTCTTTTTCCTGGGATGCAAAAAAGTCTCCCTGGTTGATGTTTGTCCAGATAAGTAATGGCCTTGCCAAAGAACTCGATCCACCTGTGACTTTTTGCTACAATTCCTCCTCCATTGCATCTATCACGATCTTTATGATCCAATTAATGGATGGAACTTTTTTCCTTGCAATTTGCCACTCAACACCGTCGAAATGGCGATTTTGTCCGTTCATCACCGGACTTGGGACACGTTGGAGGCATTTTGTGGAACTGGCAGAAGGAATGGTCGTCATGTGGAGCAGAGAAGACACAATAAAGTCTTGGATTTTTATGGATGCGCTGAAAAGAGAGTGACAGCATAAGAAATATACCAAATATGGAGACAAGAAGATCATCTCGATCAGCAGGAGATGACGTCTTTTCATATTTATTTCCCGGTCTAAATGTACGTTAGAATAGAAATTATCTCATTTACAGGTAATTAAACAAACGCTACTTAAAAATAAGTGTATAATTTAGTTAATTAAGAGCATAACAGCGGAAAAACCACTGTCGTCCTGATTTTCTTTGAAACACAATAAAAACCTTATCACAAAACAAAACAGTTCCTCATGCTTAAATAAATTAATTCACATGCTAACGAGTTCAGTTTGAGGCCACCAGTGATCGTGAAAAGTCGCCCAAATGGAGAGAAATGAGGAAAAGTATGATGTTGAGAAGTTTCGTGCAATTAAGGACTATAGATTAGCTTGTTTCATGCCCAGTTTCGATCGCATTCCGCGGAATCTGAAGTGGCGCGGCGGGGAAAGAGTGCTGGACATTGGTTGTGGTCCTGGTGACATAACAAAGGTGTGCATTTATCCTATACTCCCGCAGAATTATGAAAAGCTGGTTTGCTCTGACATTTCGCCAGAAATGCTCGAAGTCTGCAAGTCTGTTTTCGCCGGGATTAAGAGTGTTGAGTTCCTACAAATGGACATCCGAGAGAGTCCTGCGGAATCTCTCAAGGGCACCTTCGACAGGATCTTCTCGACATTCTGCTTCATGTACGTTGCCGATCAGGAAGCAGCCCTGAAGAATGTCTTTGATCTCCTTGCGCCAGGCGGAGATTGCTGGATCCACCAATTGTCTCGTCCTTCAGTTGTGCTGCCGCTCTTCAAACTCGCTGAATCTCCGAAGTGGAAGGACAAATTACAAGGATTTAGGACTGTGCAAATTTATCCATTTACTGAAGATCCAAACCCAGTTGCAACTGGCGAAAAGTACATGAAATCCGTCGGTTTCACCGACATTTCAGTCAGCATCGTTGAATCTCATGTCCAAATGGAATCCGAGGAAGACTGTAAAAGTAATTTGTGTGCTTTTATTGCTCCTAAAAGCTCCCTAATTATGTGCTTCTTTCAGCGTTAATTGAGAGTCTCCCAAATCCATCGAAGGACTTCAATGAAGAAGATAAACAGGAACTGCTGAAGGATCAAATTGCAATTGCAAAATCGTTGAACTTTTTCAAAAATAATTCGACATCAGATCCCAAAAAAGTACCAGAACAATTTCTTGTGATGTATGGTAAGAAACCAGTATAAATAATGTTTTCATAGCACAACAGCAAAAAGGAATAATTAAATAAAGATTGGGAAAAAAATTTATTTGTAATTAAGAATTTTATTAGAGCTATTTGGAATTTAAGGAAAGAAGTTCTATGGCTTTTGTGTTTAGAGTTGATTTCTAGGAGTAAAATAATCCACTTCCTTATTCTTCTGCTGAACTGTTCAGCGTCACACTTTCTCGTAATTCTATTCTTATAATTCCTCTTTAATTACATAAAACAATGTTGAATCTCAGCCTTAATTACGCGATGTATTTTGTCAGAAAATGATATATTTTTGAGTGCAGATCTCATGAATTGCATGATTAACAGCGTACAAATCTCCTCTTTGCAAAGTTAATTTTCCACACCGAGAATATACTCGGCTTTACTCTGGATGATCGAGAAGAGATCGTTAATTAAAGTGATGTGTTTCCTTAATGATAACAAATTCTCTGTGTGAATAAAGCGTGAGACTGCGCGGGAGATCACGAAGGCAATCACAGGAGATCAAGATCAATATTCGTCCCATGCGATCGCGACAAGATCGCTGACCTCTTAAGCCGATAGAACAGGAAAGGAGTATCCAGAAGCTTAATCCGACTGCAGACAAATCATTTTAATACACCTCACAAGTGCATTTTATTGCGCTCTGTCTCCATATTTCTCTCCGCCATGGCGATCATGTGGGTGGCAAGTACTTTGTGCTTGTCTCGTTTGCTCTTCTGTCCACCGAAAATTCCGCTGATCGCGATCATCGACATGAATTGGGACTTAAATAGGCTCTTTTCTCCTCTCTCGCGCCGTCTTCCGAATAGAGGTGGAGGAGGAGGCGAAGGGAGGGCTGAGAGTGGCTCACAGATGACATAAAATATAAATTCATGTTGTGGACTTTTATGTTTACGATCATTTTCAATTTAACATGTCTTTGATTTTCATCATTATCGCACCATCGTCTCTGCGATCGAACGTGGACCAGATGGATTTTTATATGCGATCGCGCAGACAATATTTGGAACATTTGGTTCGCGTTCGCATTTTAATGATGGTGGCATCCACTTAAATTGACAACGACCACGATTTTTATGACAATCCGCCGGACACAGTCGCAGGAGGGCCAGAGATAGGCGACACAATAAACGATTCTGGGCCTTTGGAGCTGAAGAGACGCTCCGGGATCGAGATTAGCCATTGGGTGAGGATGGGTTTGACGAAAAACACACACTTAAATCTCCATTTCATCGATATAAAATCAATTTTCATGAAATGAGGAGAAGAGCAGCGCTCAGCATAAAGAATCAACACTCCAAATATCTGACTATAAATTTGGGAATAAAATCAATGGACATGGCAGGTGATAAAATCACCCAAAAACTGCCATCTGAGGCATTCTTTTCGTGGATCATCGCGAGATGTTCTGTGCGGTGGAAATTTCGCCGTGTGAAAAGACGATCGCGCTTTGACGCACAGATTGAAGAATAAATTATCCATTGGGAACAAATACATCCATGAATGGCTCTTGTTGGGTAATTTATAGTGGGGAATCGCTGTGAGTTATCAAAGTGTCATTTGTATTTGATGTCTCCACCTTCCCAACACCCACAAAATTAATGCACTTTTGATTAAAAGTGTTTGTACAGGCACAGCTCGGAGTCTCCGGCACCATTCCCAATCGCCACACGCGTGCACATCTCACCCGATAGCCAATTAATTAAATCCCAACCAGCCCATCTCTCTCTCAAGAGCCGTTGTGTCCCAAAAGAAGAGAATCCAACCCATTGCCAACGATGCTCACAGACCATTTTCATTTGCCACAATCTCCTATGTTTTGTGTCTCTTCTCCGCGGTACTACACTTTGCCCTCCCGCGCCCCCCCAGCCTCACACCGCCGCCGCGATCCGTGAATTCTTTCGATGACCTGCGACCTGTGCGTTTATGGGACTCGTTTGAAAAAATTCCCCCGGGAAATCAATGGCGCGATACCATAGAATTCCACCACTCTGCCATGTGACACTTAATCAATACGAGAGTGGCCTTTTTCACGGTGTAACGGACACGCGGTGTGGGCAAAAAATAGAGAAGCACCAATTGAAGACCCAAGCCAGTTCCCTGGCCAATATCATCATCTCCCTGAGCCGAAGCACGAGAATCACCACCTCACTTGCGATAAAACATCCCGCATTTATCATAGGCGACATTTATGTGGTGTAATAGAATTTTAATGACGAATTCTATATGGACACTTTTACCTTCCACCGTGAGTAGATCTTAACCTCTGTTGGATGGTATCTTGAGGCATTTTTGCGCGTAGTCGCACAAGCCAAGTTCACTCAACGATTACAGGATCAGGAGCGCCAAAGAGTGCTTAACCCCTCAACGATAAGTATGTTCGTGATCTCTTTAATTGTGAGCTTAAAATTGCATCTTAACATGAAGATCTTAATTTTTATGGGTCAAATATCATCCAAATTATCCGGGATACAAATGCAAACAACACTGATATTCTAGGGACTTTCTACAGAAATGCTTTTTAATTCAGACATCGCGTTTCTTATCCAGGCTATGAAAGGCCGAGGAATGAAATTACCGCGCAATCAAAAGTCTCTGGAGGGTTCTTGGGAAGATATTTTAGAAATTTGCCAAGTTTAAATGCACCGATATTCAAAATTTTCGCGATTTCTTACACATTTTAAAGTTTATTTTGGCGTCCTTAACATATCAAACTGTCCCGTTCTTCCCTATCCATAAATTTACGTCCTTTTCCTTGACTCGTAGAATTATGGAAGCAGTTTAGTCCCTTTTGATTCTTTCACATCCTCAAAGGATTAACAGGAGCATCTTCCACTGCCGAAATGAGGATCACCACTGAAGGAGATCAAGTAGAAGATGATTTACTCGATCGTGGCGCGAAGCGAGGGCAATAATTCACTCGTTGTCGTGACGAAAAGAGAGTCGTCCTACGCAAAACTCCCGGCAGGAACGCATAAATCACTCCCTCACAAGCTTCCGTTGGCGGTGCGTGAAGAAATGGTCCAGCGGAGGATGCTGAGCGCGAGCTCCAGAGTGTCCAGCAGGCACTCGCGTCCACGTGTGAGGTCCTTCTGTGATATTCACCGAAATCGACGGCATAATGTCAATCTTATCGCCGCTATAAAATGTTTTTACGGCCTCTCCGCGTCTCTCGTGCACCAAATCCCGCGTCCGCCAGCATCCTCCGGCATCTCTGGGGCTCTCTGAACTACTTTGTGATATAATTTATCTGTGTTTATTGTAATGGTGCACATAAAATGTTTATTATTGTAAAATTTTTCAAATGGCTATTCATTTAATATCGACGAAGTTATATTTTATGTTATTGAAAATAAAATATTCAATCTCCGGACAGATTCACTGCACGGCGCGTCACTTCCATCTTCGCCGTCTCGGGCACGAGATGCTGTGTGGCATGAATCTTCCGTGGCTTCTTATCGCGAGGAGTGAAAAACAAGAAAGGAATTAAAATCATAATACGCATTTGGAGATGGAGAGAATCGTAAAAGCCGAGATGCTTGTGCAAATAAGAAGAGCATTCGGCGAGGCGAGCGCAGAAAGTGCCGAGAAACACAGCGTGCACTTTTGCCTTAAAGATTTGACCCATGAATGGCTGATGTTAATTCGTCTCGATCTGACCCTCAAACGCATTACGGTGCAAATGCGTGGGTGTCTTGCGGATTTCGCCAATTTTCACTATTTTATGACATTCCGGCTAACAGAAAGACAGTCTTTGGAAAGCCTTACAAGGCGAGATTCTGTCAATTTCGATTTGACTGGCAAATCACACTAAATAAATTGATATAAATAGATTCTATTTCTCAATTTTATCCATCCTTGAAACCCAATTGAATCCTCTGTTGAATGTCTTTCGTCATATCGTGGCAAAATTCTGCAATTTCTGCAGAAACCTCGCGAGTGTTTGCATCGATAATTGCTATAAATTCCCTGTGAATGAGCCGTAGTCGTTAAATTAATTTTCTCAGCTTCACTAGGGGAGAATTCTCACGATCTTTCTCTTTGGACATTGATCTCGTGACTGTGCGAAATTGTGCAAAGGCAAGCACAGCGTATAGTTGTAGATCGAGAAACTGCGGACACACCCAATTTCGCCCTCCTTTGAGTACATATATTTCTTTGCCTTCTGCCATTTCACATCGCCGAGGAGGTTGTGTGGCAAAACAAATACACCATAAATAATTGTTTTGTATCAATTGATCTCTCGAGGGTGGATTAGATGGTGTGCTTTGTGCGATTTTGCTGAAGGGATTTTGCCTCGGGGATTTGGCAAAAGGATGAAGAGAGAGAGAAGGAAAGGTCGGCAAATCCGTGGAACGTGTTAGAATCAGAAATTGCCAAGTTGAGCGGAAAATGTGGGATAATTCGGGAGCCTCTCGGGGGATTTTGCCAGGATTATCAGTGCAAAAGATGACAAGTGATCATCTCATCGGCACATCTGTCGAGAGGCGCACAAAGAGGCCATCGGAGGAAATTGGAATGAGTGCCACTCACTGCACTCGTGAGCAGTTCAGGAGTTAATGAACCACGACACCCTAATGGATGTGAATCATCCCCTGGAGAGCAAATTGCCATCAGGAAGTTGCTGTGATGTTTGATCTCTTAATGTGCGCTCGCAAATGAGGCATCGCCAGCCAAATTATAACAAAGACATTATACGTTGTGGGAGTTCTTCGCTTCATTTCCTCCCATTCGCAGTCGCCAAATGAGGAGAAAACCACAAATTCAATTTCCAATTTGATTGTATATCTGTTGTGTATTTTTGTCGATGCGAAAAGGCAAATGCGAGCATCTCTTGTTCCTTTTCATCATGCCATGCGATGCCGCCAGACAAATTGCCCTTGCAAATGCTTTCGTGCTACTGTTGAAGAAATCCAATGACGACGGAATGATTTCAGCGTCATCCTCGGTGTCTCTGGGATAAAAAGAAAATACCGCGCCGCAGAATTAATTGATATTTAATTAACTTTTTCTTGCACAGCCGAAGAGAGTGCGTCCCATTAGTGGGGAACGAGTTAATTAATTAATGCTTCAGGTGGGCTGAACTGAAAAGATCACCGAGAAAAATAAGGTGTATTTCTTCAATTCCCGCTCCAACTCTCTGGACAATTTGTATTATTAATTAATCAACGGGGCTTGTCTTCTGGCCGGACAGACGCTCTTCTGCACAGCTTGACAAGTTCGTCAGCATCGCATCTTCTGGGCATTTTTTTTTCCTTGCGATTTAGCAGAATTTATAGGGAAAGAGAGCTTCTCCGGCAGCGCCGTAAACGGAGGATCCTCGGATCCAGAATATTTATGGTTTTTAAATGATCCCTCTTTGCCCGGCGCGAAGTGCTCGTAAAATCCCACTTAATTGTGGGAAATTTATCTGAATACTTTTAATTGTGCCTCATCATCGGACTATTTGTCTCACATTGAAGGTACTTTTATAGGTTGCGCGTCGTGTCCTCAAAATTCCAACTTAATCTCTATATAAATCCCGCAACATTATGTCCTGTCCGCCAAGCTATCTGGCCACCACGCTATCAATCAGCGATGGTAAATCACCGCATTAATCACCGCGGAGAGTCATTCTGTGCCATGTGGTGAAAATATTAGAAGGCCTGGCCGTTGATGGCTCGCGAAGCCCTTTGACTCCGCATCTCTTCGAAATATCATCGCACATTTCGTCAGTGTCATCGTCATGCGCAAGAAGACCGATGCCTCGTCACTTTCTCCATCGCGGCCAAGAATCAGATGGCGCAGAAACTCCCCGCCGAGTGGCTAAAATGATGATTACAGTGCGCAGAGAAGGAAAAAGTCCGATTTTCTCGAAATGAAATCGAGCCTATAATATTTTGCACACAACTCGAAGATTGTGATCAAGATTCAAGTGCCGGAACTTGAATTGTCCTCAAAAAATGCAAATATTCTCCTGCAAAATGTAGGAGAAAATCTACAACTCAAGACTCCAAAAATATTGACGATTTGTCAAGCATTCCACCCTCAAGCGTGGGAATAGAGTGGAAGACACATGAAATCTTCCCGCAATTATAGCTAAAGGAACAATCAATCACGAGTGAAATATATTGAAGTGTTATTTCACTGGGTGTTTGAGTGTTTTCGAAGCAATTTCCTGTGGTAATTGATTAAAATTTCGGATGTTATTAACAAGATCTCCAGCAGTGTTTTCCCAACTCTCGCGATGCCTCCCATCGGCCACCCTTCGCCGTGTGTCTGCAGGAGGATGAGAAATGTCCGTGAAATTGAAATCACCACCTCACTTACGATCGCCAGCATTTTCAAACAACATTTCGAAAATTGTATTGAATCCACAAAACACGGCGGAGGCAATTTGAATCCGTGTGAGCGCGTATAAGATCAATTTGCTGGGTAATTGCTCTCCAGCTACCTCTATTTAAGCATTTCCACGTTATAACAAAATATTATTTACTTATAAGAATTTCACGGTTCGAAGCCATAATGACCACACCTTGTGCTCCTCTATTACACACTTCTTCTCCAACGCCGTGATCTTCCATTGGGGATTTTATTGTGTGTTCAAAAATATAAGCTACGATGTGAAAACTGTTATGAATTTTACTGTCTTGTTTGGTAATTGAATTTGAATTTCAAGAGTTCTTTGACCATCGACGTGTGAAAGCGCGAGCTGTGCGGAGATTTCTTGGGCATGAGATGATGGAAGATGGGTTATTTTTGTCGCCTGGCGGCATAAAAAATTATCCCATCCGATGGGCCGCAAAATGCGGGGACATTCTTGGGTGTGAAGATGACCACAGAGAGCCAATAAACCAATTCTGTCTGATTGCTTTACGATGACACGAGTGACCTTTCCTTGTGGCGCGAAATTTGGCACTCCAGCTTCGCGCGCGCGCGGCCCAAGAGACACATTCTTATAAATTGTCTTGTTTCTGCCACATTTCTTTCACGTACACACGAAATTCTCCGCAGCTTATTTATTTTGCCTCATAATTGAGCAAATACCGGCGTGTCTCTCCTGGATTATTCATTGTTATCTCTTGAACTCATTCTTGCGCGGCTCTTCATCCCAAAAACACAGAGAGAAAAGCTCCATCGTGATTCCCCAGAAGGGAGAATATGCATATATTGTCTTGTGGCGAAGTGCATCGCGCGTCCTCCCAAAATGCCCCGGCCACGGAAGTGCTCGCATGATCAAGACATAAAACAAGAGATTTCATTCATAAAGTATACCCGAAATACTTGCCATATCTCTTGAGGTCTTCTTCGCCAGCATCTCATGCTTTTTTCCGCGCTTCGCGCAACTCAAGAGCGTGAGGAATTTCACTTGTCAAGAGACTTTTCACCGCGTGTCTCTCACTGCTGCCTTTTTGGCGAATCCGGCCCCACGCGATGGTGGACAGAAATCTGTAAATCAGCGGCAAATCGCTGTCAACGAGATGTGAGAAGAAGCTGAGAGAATGGTGAGGAACTTCCGCATGTGAAAACTGATAAATCTCATGTCAATTGCCAATTTCGACGAGTCCTCGGCAACGGCACGCCGTGGTGACCAAGATGAGCACCAAAGAAAGCCACCAGTTGAGATAACAAGCGCCATTTATTCCATTAAACTCACGCAATGCTGCACACTGAGTCCCATGGCACCGGCTCGCCAATATTTATGGAGCCCAAGGTTGGCTGATATGGCCTGAAAATGCATCCGAGAAGGCAGCAGCGCAGCATTCAGCCATCCCAAGGGGTCCACTTGAATACTTGGCTGACTTTAATGTAGCAATTGCATCTTCTGCACATGCAATATTTGAAATTGTTGTCATTGCTCGCGCCGCTCGCTGGATATTTTCGCCAGTCCAGCGGAGATTCTCAAACTTACATCGATGGGAATACATGATAATCT